GAAGCATGAGGATTCAGAGTTTGAGGCCAGCCTTGCCTACATAGTGAGATACCATTTCAACAAAACCCAACAAAACAACCCCCTACACACACCAAAACAACAAAATTCCCAAATAAATCTAAATAACTAGTTTTATTATTCTAAGTATCATTTACACTAACTTTAAGAGAACTATGAATAAAATGGAAAAGTTTGACACCAATAATTACAGGGGGAATTTATAGCTCATAAATTAGAATTTCTCTGCTTTGAGATGTTATGAGATTAGAGTTTGGTTTTAGACAATTTGCTTGGATAGGTGACTCATGACATGATTGTAATTATTACATACTTTTAAATTAAATGTTTTGCTTCAATGTTGTAGAACTTGATAAAAGTCTGTAAAGAGAATCCTCTCACCTTTGCTACTTTTTACAACTTAAAATCTCTTTCAGCTAAACATTCTTTACATATGTATTTGTCTCCTGATACTAGTTCTTTATTCCCATTATGGATGCCAGAGCTTTTGAATATGGCAAATAAATAGATATAAACAATCCTAAACCAAGACTAGACTGGAAGTATGGCTCAGTGGGGGTCTGCCTGCCTAGTAAGTACAAAGCCTTGAGTTCAAACCGTAGTACAGGGATGAAAAACAAAACAGCACAACTCCAAAGACCATATTCTGACCACATGTGCAAACTCACAAGTGTCATCTTACGTAGAATGAGAAAACTTAAAAAAAACAACAACCCCAAACCAACTCTGCGAATTCTAAGTAAACTATTTTAAAAAAGCTTGTCAATTCTGAGTGATACTAAATTATAAAAGTTAAGACAGTGAAACTTTAAATTGCTCTATTTCTTTCAGAATATGTTCTGATCACTATTTTACAGTTCTCTAACAGAGAAAGTTAGACGGACAGATAAACTGCTATTAATCAGAACCCAGTTACAAACCTGTTATCATCTGCTGCGCATCATAGGGTTCCATGTAGCCATCGTTCTCACCTACTCTCTCTGCGTCCCTTTGACCCTTTGTTCGTTTGGCATCGTAAGGGTCAGCATAGTCTTCTAAAATGATGACCTGTTGGAGAATGAGGGGACAGTTGCTAAGGATTCCTATATACCAAAAATGCAATGGTATCAAAGTGGTTACTGAAATCTGCAAATCTGGAGTCAAAATCATCAGTTCCAGAAAGCATTTGCACTTGATCATGTATTTCAGTTGGACAAATAGCTTTTTTTTGGGGGGGGGGGTAGTATAATTGACTTGCACTTTTCTTTCCACATGCAACAAAGCATTTGTGGTTGGGGGAGGGTAGAGGGCAACAGAAGGTGTCTGTGGCTTTAGTGCATAAAAAGATAAACTTGTCTAGCTATTGCTCTGGGCATTTTAAGCTGTAATTAGCTGAGCAATACAGTCACAGTGAATTAGTCAATCGCCTTTTAACACTGGATAAGTGGTATGAGGGAGTCAAAGTGGTCTGAAGACCTGCTTCCTGTCCTCAAGGAATTCATAACAACTTCAAAGAGAATGCCTTCATAAAATGAAATAGGTCAATACTGAATAATATAGGAGTTTTAGGTTCAGCAATTCACGGGTAAACCTATTCTCTCTAGGCTGCCAATCAGATAGTTTTGATGAGATTTATAGCTGAGGAAAGCTATCTTCCCCCAAACAGAGGAAAGTGACCCAAAAGTGCTGTGTATGCAATAGTTGCTCTTGGTGAGCAGGTGACAACATCAAAGATAAAGAACCTTTCTTAGGTCTTTCAGAGCGATGTTCCATAGTCTCTTACAGAACCTTCTCAAAAGACTCCTGGAAAAGTACTATGGTTGCTTGGAAGAATTTGGACAGAATTGGTGAGAGTCTTTTACCTTGGAGGAAATGGCTTAAGAAACCTCAGATACCCAAAAGTGACACCTATGAAAATAACCAGGCCGCCACTGCAGAGGATTGATTACCCAACTCAGGCCATCCCTTCTCCTTCACTGGCACCACGTATACTGCAGTTGCATGGCCCAGCAACGAATACAGGGCATGATACTCAGTCCTTGATGATTTAACTGTCAAGTGTACCACTGAGTAATGTATGAACAGGGTCCATGTCCATCCTGTCTTCCCACGGCTCTCTGCTCAGAGCTGGCATAGGGTAGGCATCCTCTAAATATTGTGGACACGAGTGGAATGAATACATGCCAATACATATCATATGATATATGTTAAAGGCTCCTGACCAAATAGGCAGCGAGTCTGAAGCCTGGCAAGAGAAAATTAAAATCGCCATAATAGGAAGTGATTACCTACACTGACCAAGTCTGAATCGCAGTTTGAACTCTTCCTTCTCTTTCACATCAAGCTAACTCATCTCCACAGAATGGAGAGCCCCCATAAATCCACATTCTTTTTCTTACATTCCCACATTGGACAACACCCAGAAAACCTCCAGTGACTAAGAAGCAGGAAACACCTTCTTCTCTCCTGATCTGTAATTTCCTTAAGGCATTTCCTTGTCTTAGCCTGTGTCTACACCCGCCCCCCCCCCCCCCCATCCCTCGGTGCTCCATGCCCCTTATCTTATATGGTTATATACAACAAATGTCCACAGAATGAATGGAAGGGCTGTCATCTTGCAGAATTGTTGAAACTCAAACTCTGAGAAGCCCTCTCCTTTTTTCTTCTTCTGTGATTAATTAGAGATAAAAGAGCCTTAAGGATTTTTTTTTTTTTTGCCTTATCTGGCTTCCACCAGAGATCCTCAGATCTCAATAGTTAGGATTGCAGGCATGAGCCACCAGCTTTCAAGAGGCCCTTTACTAGGGTGGAATTGTAAGGAAGGCTGGTACTTCACACCAGCAGAGAAACAGGTGGTCAACCCATTTTCACACTGTGAAATCCACACATTTTCCAGTTCACTGTTACTTGTGTTGAAGAAAGTTACAAGCCACACACAAGTATAACTTTCTGGATATCAGAATTAAAATAAACCACACTTATAAAGGGGTCAAATAGAACAAAACCGATCTCTTATTTGATTATGCTTGTGGACTGCTAACAAAACTAAATACATTTAAATTGTACATTCGTGAAATGTTCCCCAATCCCAGAGAATTTTTCAAGAAAACTAAGTGATTCTATTTTTCCTGTCTGTGCTGAACCTTAGGGCCTGGGTGCTGTCCCTTAGCCCTTTTGCTCAAGGCTAGTACTCTATCTCTGGGGTCACATCTCCATTTCCAGATTTTTGATGGCCAATTGGAGATAAGACAGACTCTCTTGGGTTCTTCCTGCCTGGCTGCTTCGAACCACGATCCTCTGATCTCAGCCTCTTGAGTAGCTAGGATGAGAAGCATTGGGTCATCGGAGCCTGGCATAAGTGATCATTTAAGCAGCAGATGATGAATGGTAGATGGAAAAGGACCTTAGTAACTAGGGTTCGTCTTCTCTTAGATATAAAGCAGCTTAGAGTTCAGCAGGCTCACGTCCCCTGTACTGACAGTTGGTCCAAGGAAGGCCATATTCTTACCGCATCTTGCTGCTTGAGAATCTTGCTCTTGTCCAGCTCAGGGCCCAGGGAGGAAGGAGAAGACGACGCGGAAGATGAGGAGCTGCTGCTGCTACTGCTGCTGCTGCTGCTGCTACTGCTGCTGTTAGGGTAGTTGTTCTTCCCATTCTTCTCCTGTGTGTCCACCTTGATGAGCCTGTTGATGTAGGTGCTGCAGCCCGAGCTCTTGGCCGCACCCCGATGGGGCTCATCCTCGGTAGCCCGGGAGTTCTTGCGACCCTTGCCCGCCGCGGCTTGAATCAGACCCTGCAGACTGTCCCGGGACAGCCGGCTGTCCTTAGGGGGGCCGCTGGTGGCCTTGCCGCCCCCTAGTTCGGCCGCCGAGTTCTTGCGACTCTTTCCCAGGGTGGGCCCCGCGCCCCCTGCTTCCGAGTTCTTTCGCGGTTTGCCGCCGCCCGCGGCCCCGGGCTTGGCCCTCTCGGACACGGTCTTCAGGTTCAGGGGGAACTCCTTGAACCACTTGGCTGCCATGACGGGGGCCGGGCCGAGGCGACCCAGGAGCGTCGAGGTCGCCGAGCAGGCGAGCGAGGAGGCCCAGCCCAGACACGGAGAGGCGGCGGCAGGGGTCGGGGGCCGCTGCATTCCCCGGGGCTAGGGCGCTGGAGGCCGCGGCGAAGCCCCGGGCCGGCCGTCGCTCACGCCCCGCAGGGTGGAGCCCCTGCAGCCTGGGGACTCGGGAGGGACCTGGGGCGCCCAGCTGGCGGGCGCGGGCCGCCGCTCCGGACGCGGACGGCGACAGGCACGACGCGCGCGCGGGCCCCGCCCGGCCTCGTCTTCAGCGCAGGCACTGCTGGGGGGGCGGCGGGGACACCGCGGCTCTCCGGAGGCACCGGGGGGCTTCCCCGCTGTTTCCTCCCGGGATGGGAGAGGCCGAGCCCACGGAAACCCCCCGGCAGCCCTGCCCACACTTCCAGGGAGCAGAGAGGACCTCGGCGTCAGGACCGTCCCCGGCGCCGCGACGGACGGTAGACGGTCGGCAGACGGCGGGCGAGCCGCCCACCGCCCTGCGCCCCTCCCCTCCGCAGCGGGCGCGTCCCAGCCCCGCACCTCCCGCCCAGATCCCGGGGCCTCGGGAAGGGCGGTGGGCGTGGGTGTGAGAGGGCGGGGTGTGCTGGGGAGAAGCTGGCGGCGGCCACGCGTGCCGGCGATCGGCCGCGTCCCGGCGCGCACCGGGCTCTCGGAGGCTGCAGACAGCCCCTCTGCCGGCACCGAGCCGGTCCCCGCTCCGCGCTGCCTTCGAACTCGCCCGGGAGCGCGCCACGTGCGAGCGCAGAACCGGACAAGGGAGCATGGGCCTCCCGCAGGACCAGGTGCGCCCCGCCTTCGATCCACACAGCTCCCAGGCAGCCGACGGCTGGGCGCTGGGTGCGCGGGGTGGGAGAGGTTTGTTTACTAAAAGTGAGTGGCGGGGAACGGGGCGGGGAAGGGAAAATCCCGGCCCGCTCGTTCCCGCACTTTCCCTCCTGCACCGCGAGACCTGGCCTCCCAAACCGTGGCCGGCCGCGGATTGGCTGCTGACGGGGAGCCTCCCCCCACCGGCGCGATCGCGCGGAGGCGGAGCGTGGAGGGAGAAGGTGCGAAGGCGACGAAGGCGGGGAGCAGAGGAGCGGTCGTCCAGCCCTGCATTTACCCAGCTTGCAAGAGGATGGATGCCCCACAAGTTTCCAGGCCCCGGTCTGCACAGCGAGGGGTGGCTGCTCGGGCCCAGGTTGGAGGCAATTGTGGGAATTGTCCCCATTCCACAGGGTGGTGTGAGGGAGGGTGCGCTGCTGTAGCCGGGGCTTGAGGCCTGCTTGCGTCTGGGAGGAACTGGAGTGGGGATCGGGACACTCGGAGGGTAATTGCAGCTCAGCACGTTTGGGGTGTTAGCACCTCTCCACCCCTCCCGCCCCATTGACGCTGTTTGCTTTTTAGTTTAAAAGCTAAGCTTAAACTTAATTTCTATACCTGGAGTCCTTTCAGTTCAAACAAACAAAAACTGTTGAGCTTACACGAGCTTGAGCTCGTTCTAAATCCTCCAGTACAAGCCATGGAAACAGAACTTTTCTGGACCAGTGTCAGTGAGGAACTCAAGCTGACCATCCTTGAAAATACTGGTTGACTTACTAAAGAAGAAAACAAAAGAGCTTTATGAAAATCTAATTTACACACCATAAAATTCACGCCAAATAAAATTTTAGCATATTCATTATGTTTGCGATTATCACCACGAACTAATTTTAGAATATCCGCACCTCCAAAAGAAAAGTGATCATTAGCAGTTAACTCCTCATTGGCTTCCTGCTGCTCTAATCCTAAAGAGCTACTAATCTACTTTGTTTCTACCCTTTTGTCTGTTCTGGAAGTTTCATGTAGTGTAATTAAAATAATATACAGCCTTCTGATTCTATCTCCCCCCCTCCCACCCTTTTAGTCTCTGTTTTGAAATTCGTCCCTATTGTAGCATGGATTGACACTTTATTCCTTTTATATTTCCCAGTAATATTCCCTGGTAGGATATACCACATTTTGTGTCCATTGCTGATAAACATTTTGATTGTTTCCACTCTTTGGATATTATAAACAATGCTGTTGTGAATATTTGTGAATAGGTGTATATGGAGCTATGTGTGAATTTCTTGAGTAGCAGGTACCCAAAGTGGAATTGCAGGATCACAGGGTAGTTCACTGGTTAACTTTCTGAGAAACTGCTAAACTCTTCCAAAGTGGTTACACCATTTTACATGACCAAAAATATGAAGGTTGCTACTTTTCTTTTCTTTTTTATAACTGGATGCTATTTGTTTTACTTTGAAAAAATCCACTATGTTTGTATGTGTACATTAAATAAATATATATTTACATCTCTTAAAACTGCAAATAAGTTATCCAGACCAAGTAATACAGTAGAAGGGAGGTAATGACTTTAGAAAAAAATAAGCTTTTGAAAAAAGATCTCTCTCTTTTGTGGGAGGATTATTTCTGGGATTTATATTCAGGGCTTTCTGCTTGGGAGGCAGGTGCTCTAACACTTGAGCCACAACCCCAGTCCCAAGAAAAGTATCATTCAGAATGAGGGCTGCTCTTTTGTTTGGGATATCTTGGTGTCTGCCCTGTCTCCAAAGTCCCTATACACTTTCAAAGATAACCAAGAAACTGTGATTAACAGTCTATATCCCAGATTTTCCCCATAAACCACTGGGGTTTATTCATCCATTGCTAAGTCTTTCAATAATCTTCATCACTTTTGTTTTTTTTTTAGACTTATTTACAGCTAAAACAGTTGTTTCCTCCCACAGCTGGGAATAACTTAGAGAAAAGTTTCAGTTTTGTTTTAATATTTAATATTTTAATATATGCATATTTTTCCTGCAGCACTGGAAAAATACTGCTTTAGAATGATATGGATAACCTTCTTATCTGTAGGAATAGAATGAAGGTTGTGGACTCATAGGGCTGAGTTCTGTATCTTTTATAATTTGCAGCAAATCATATATCCTTAAGCTTTGGTTTGCCATGTATATATGATGGGAAGATAAGCTCGAGGCTCAGCAGGGGTTGGGCGGGGAGCAGTGTAGCTCAGTGGTATAGCATGTGCTTTTCCCTGGATTTGATTTCCAAGACCACAAAAACGAAGGAAAGGAAGCCAGTGCTCTACAAGAGTTGTAGCAAGGTGCAAATGAAAGCCATAACAATAAGCATAGTGAGTAACATTTATTGGGTTCTTAATCTGCAGCAGGTGCTTTAAGAGCAGCATCTCACTTTATTCTTGTAATCTATGGCATCGGTGCTTTGAGTCCCATCTTACAGATAAAACTTGCACAGCTGGATTGACAGCTGCATCTGTCTACCTCCCCATGCCTGTTCTTCACAGGCCAGCCATGGTTACAGAAGTTGGTAGGAGTTTAAAGTTACTTGTGGGACTTATGTTCCTGTTTGCTACGGGGCTAAAATCAAGTTGTCAGCAGGGCTGTGTTCCTTCTGGTGGCTCTAGAGAGAATGCCATTCCTTGCCTTTTCCAGGTTCTAAAGGCTGTTCACATTTCTTGGCTGGTTTCTCCTTTTCTGTCTTCAAAGGTTGCAGCAGTGGAGGAGCCCTCATCGGTCATCACTTTAATCTTGCTTCTGTCTTTACATCTGTCCTGCCTTTCTGCCTTCTACTTGCCAGGACCCCTGTGATTACATTGGGCCAATGGGGAGAATCTCTCTACTGTAAGGTCAGCAACCTGAGTAGCTACTTTGATTTTGTCAGCAACCTTAATTCTCCCTGGCCACAAAACCTTAACATATTCTTATATTCTGAGGATTAGAATGCAGATTGCTTGCTAGGAGTGATGGTGGGGGGCAGATGTTATCCTTTCTGCCACAGTATATGTTGAGTGGTTATGCAATGATGAATATTCTGGCATGCTTCTAACTGGTTGCTTGGCTTTGCAGGAGGTCTTCTTAGAAAGAACTTACCAAGACAGCATGTAAGTCTCTGTATTGATAAGAAACCCTCACTCTTCTCTTTATCCTTTAATTGGAAATGAGAGACTCACAGACTTCTGTTTGGGCTGGCTTTGAACCGTGATCCTCAGATCTCAGCATCCTGAGTAGCAGGGTTACAGGCATGAGCCACTGATGCCCAGCTAGAGCTACTCTGTAATGTTTGACAGTGTCCAGAGCTTAAGAATCACCTTCTGCATCTCTGACCTGTTAATTCTAACTCTAATGTGCTGTGAGTGATTAGAAATCCTGGGGGAGGGCTCCTTAGCTGGAAAACTGACCCTGGGAGGAAGAAGGGAAGCCCTTTATCAGGAAAGGAGTTTGAAGATGTATGCAGAACAGCTTTTGTGTGTGAGTGTGGGTCCTGGAGCTTGAACTCAGGGCCTGGATGCTGTTCCTGAGCTTTTGTGCTCAAGGCTAGCACTCTACCACTTGAGACAGCTCCACTTCAAGCTTTCGTTGGTGGTTAATTGGAGATGAGAGTCTCACAGACTTTCTTGCTTGGGCTGGCTTTGAACTGTGATCCTCAGATCTCAGCCCCCTGAGTAGCTAGGGTTACAGGCAGGAGCCACTGATGCCAAGCCAGAGCTGTTCTGTAATGTCTAGCCTGTGCTTCTTTTTGTCTGGATCTGGGTTTGGGAGGTGCAGTAACAACACCTGTGTTTGGCAGGGCCTGGAACAGCCATGACTTCCCACCCTCTGCTAAACTACTGTGGAAGAATGAAGTGTTAGAAGAACAGAAATTCCCAGGTAAGTGAGCCTGGAGGTGTTGGTGCTGGGACCTGTGCTCTGTAACCTGGATCCCCATTAATGATGACCAGTAACCTAGTTCGTGTTCAGGAATGGAACTTGGGATCTGCCTTGATACTGTCCTTCCTATAGCCAGCCACTCCATTGCTTTTCACCTGCTAGTAGTGCAGACCTTATGTGGTGCACTCAGTTTCAATCCTGTCTTCTGCATTCACCCTTTACCACCTCCAGTGGTCTAACATCCAGATGTGTTGACGGAACCACTCTGGTCAAGTCCTTCTCCTATATCTCCCAGCCAGTGGGAAGAAGTGTCTCTTTTGTAGCACTGCCTCACCTCACCACTGACCCTTGGGAAGTGAGCAGTCTAACTGTGCCTGATTCAGTGCTACTTTCCCAATGTGCTTGCTTTATTCTTATCTCTGTGTGTTTGCTTGTGCTGTACCCTCCACCTGAATTCCTTGAGGTTTTCCTCCCTTGTTCTTTTCCCTAAACTGAATGTAACTGTGGGAAGTTTAACCCCATTAGTCCTGAAGCACTTCCTAGTACCTCACTGAAAGCCTGGGTTACCCAAATTCAGACTGAATTCTCATCCTGTGCCACAAAGAGAGCTCCTGCTTTGAGAGAGAGAGAGATATGCAGGCTGGTACTGACTCCAGACCCCTGTAACCATGGATGAGTGTTTGCTAAGGGAGTGAGCAAGGTATCACTCTCCGTGTTCCCAGAGAGAGGAGTGCTTAGGGGAGTGGTATGTATGGATTCTTTTTTTAAACTTACTTTTAAGATGAATTTTATTTTGTGTATATAAGCTAGACGATATCATGCTGCCAGATACACATGTATAGTAAAATGGTTACAGTAGTGGAACAAATTAACATAGACCTCATCTTATAGATACCCATTTTCCAACCCCTGAGGCAAAAGCATGTACTCTTACCTAGTAGCAGAAATCTTGAATAGAACACACCACACTCTGTAGTTGTGCCTTAGATCTTTCTGCTTCATTCAATATACTCCCCTGCTACTTTGTGTTCTTTGACCTGTGTTTCTACCTCCAGACTCTACCACTGTTTTATTCCATATGTTTGTGACCTCTATTTTTTTCTTTTTTCCTCCTCCTCTTTTTAAATGATGGTATTAAGGCTTTTGAACTCAAATTCTGGTGCTGTCTCTTACTTATCTGTTTTTGCTCAAGGTTGGCACTCTATCTTGAGCCACAGCTCCACTTCTGGCTTTTTGGTGTTTAATTGGAAATAGGAATTTCATGGACTTTCCTGCCTGGGCTGACTTGTTTCACTTGCCATAATGTTCTCTTTTATAGTTCATGTTGGGACAGATAGCAAAATTGTCTTTTTTCAAAGACAGAATAATATCTATAGTGTGTGTACATGTGTGTGTGCTCACACATGCACATTCACATGCAAGAAAATGCCATAGTTTATCCATTCATCCATGAATGGATACCAAGGTTTTTTCGTACCTTGGCTTGTACTACACTGAATATAAGAGTGTAAATGTCTCCAAGAGGTGGTGCTTCTATTTCCTTTGGGAATAGAAAAGGGATTACTGGGGCTGTGTGAATTTAATTTTAACACCAAAGGAAACAAGAGTCTATTATGGTTCCAACTTCTTTAAATCTTCCTCCTTCTTCTCTTCCTCTTTTTCATTCTCTTTCTCCACCTTCTTCTCCATGCTAGGGACTGAGCCCAGGGTTTTATGCATGCTAGACAAGCATGCTATCACTGATCTGTACCTCTGGACCATGCCTGTCTTTTTAATGCTGTTTTTCTTCCCAGGATGCAAGAGGAGAGAGACCCAGGTCTATGTGGGCAATCTTCCACTGGATGTCTCTGAGGTATTCTTCATGCCTGGTGATAGATGCTGCCCACTCCCCTGGCTTTCCTGTATACCTTATTAACTTGCTGGTAGTCTAATGGTGCCAGTTCCTGAATGCCTCTGTGAGTTATGAAGGTTCAGGCAGTCCTTACTAGTGACTTGGGTGACCAGTGGTCAGTCTTTAAGCCCAGACTCGTGGGTATCCACATGTCAGGTCAGTCCACTTGTTCCTATATGCCAACTAAAGAGAAATGGTGAAGGGCAGAAAAAAGGTTTATTATGTGGCTTGGGCAGCCATGGAAGATAATGTGTCAGTTCATCTTTAGCCACCTTTGGGATACAGACATGAGCTAAATTTTAATAGATAGAGAACTATTAGTGATACCTAAGAAAGGGTGAGTTTCCACCAGATACAATTCAATATTCAAAGGTAATAATTTACTAATGTAAATCTTGATAATTTAAGGAAAAGACTAAATACCCTGCTTTATTTTTTTCAGGATAAACTCTAGTCAGTGAAGGTTTTTTGTTTTTGTTTTTGATAATACTAAGGTTTGAACTCAGGGCCTTGGTAGGCAAATGTTCTACCATTTGAGCCCCACGAGATAGGGCTCTGGTTTTTGCCTGAATTGGCCTCAGATTCTGGTCCTTCTACCTATGCTCTCTGTATAGCGATGGCTACATGAAACTACCATGCTTGTTTTGTTTGTTGAAATGAGCCCTCACTAACTTTTACCTGAGCTAGCCTTAGACTACAGTCCTCTTGATTTCCACCTTGTGAGTAGCTGAGATTACAGATGTAAGCCACTATGCTTGGCTGAGAGAAAACTCTTTACAGAAGAACTCTAGCTCATAAGTCTAGAAGAAATGATAGAATTGGAAAATTCCTATTTTGCTAACACCCAGTAAAATGACTGTTTGAGACAGTGGTTATGTGAGCACACTTAATTGACAGGCAGCTTTGTGATGGAATGAACAGTTTATTATCATGTGAACTTAACTGATTAATTTCAGCATTCCTGAAGGTGAGACGTGAGATCTAAGTCCCTGAAGTGATTAACTATGAACCCATATCATCTGTAAAGTATTCTAGGCAAAACAGTTAACACCCTTAACCTATGTTATTTATAGGAATTATAGGAAATAGGATATCAGGTTAGTGCTGCCCAGAAGAAGCTGTACTCTTGTCTACACAAGTATAGCTGACCTGGTTTCTATAACAATTTTCAATTGAAAATTTTCACACAGGCAGCTGGGTGCTTGTAGCTCATACCTATAATCCTAGCTACTCAGGTGGCTGATATTTGAGGACCATGGTTCCAAGTCAGTCAGGATAGAAAGGTCTGTGAGACTTTTACCTTCAATTAACTACCTAAGAGCTGGAAATGGAGCTGTGGCCCAAAGCTCAGGGAAGCACCCAGGCCCTGAGTTCAAGCTCCATGACTGACAAAAAAAAAAGAGACATATAAACAATCTGGAAGAGATTTAAAGGCACTTAGAGACTGGATGAGAACCCACATCAGTAATCTCAGGAGGCGGAGATTGGGAGGATCCTGGTTTAAGACCAGCCTAGGTAAAAAGTACTTGAGACCCCATCCCAACAAGAAGGTGGGCATGGTAGCACCCATCTGCAACCCTAGCTATTCAGAGGCATAGGTAGATCTTGGTCCAAGGCCAGCCCCAGGCTGAGGGGAATGATGGACTAGAGGCCCTATCTGGAAAAAAAATAACTAAAATGAAAAAGGACAAGGACTGTGACTCAAGTGGTAGATCACCTGCTACTAAGTTCAAATCCCAATACTACCAAAAAGAGAAAAATAGATATTTAGTAAAGACAAGAGAAATGATAACCAAAAATCATTAGTAGACCTTGTTTTGATTCTAATTTGGACAAAACCATAAAATATTTTTGAAATGATAAGATTTTTCTTTTTTTTTTTTTTGGGTCCGGTTGTGGGGCCTGAACTCTGGGCCTGGGCACTGTCCCTCAGCTCTTCAGCTCAAGGCTAGCGCTCTACCACTTGAGCCACAGCGCCACTTCCAGCTTTTTTCTTTTTGCTTATGTGGTGCTGAGGAATCGAACCCAGGGCCTCAGGCATGCAAGGCAAGCGCTCTACTCACTGAGCCACCTTCCCAGCCCCATGATAAGATTTTTCTGTTGATAAGGAATTATTTGTTTTCTTTGATACTGGCATTGTGTCAAATAAGAAAAGTCTCTTTTTGGAGGTGTGTGCTGAAGTGTATAAAAGTACAGTGTTTAGATTTGTTTTAAGACATTCCAACAAATGTGCTTTGCAGAGAAAGATGGCTAGCAACTCACTTTCACAGTAACTGAGCCATCTTATAGAAGAACTGAAGCCTGGTTCCCTCTGATCCAAGCCTCCAATGGCTTCCCTGCTTCTCCCTTTTCTGTCTTTGTGTTGCTGTCCTGTACCTACATGTCCTTTGTCTTCTCTATTAGCTCTCGTGTGCTGCATTAGCTTCTGGCTGGACCTCCACCCTGCCTTGGGCCTTTGTTGCTGCTATGCCCTCAGCTCAGTATATTCTGCTACTGCAAAACAGAGATGTTCTATGAAGGTCCCTTTTTTGAGGGAGTGAGTACTGAGGCTTGAACTCAAGACCTCCCAGAAATTCCTTTTTGGTTGCTTCTGAGCAGAAGGTATGCACAGTTTTGTTGGGGTAGGGTACTGTTAGGTAGTAGAGGAAGGGAGCAGAGGTGGCTGTGTCAGGAGGACGGCAGGAACATTGCAGGTAGGACTGGCGCACAGTGCAAAGTACAGAAGGGCAGAGTTAGGTGTGTTGCCAGAGAGGAGTAGAATGTTAGGGTCTGTTGGATCTCAGCCCCGAAGACAGGTTGGAGAGCTAAAAGTGTGAGCAGAAAAGATGGTGGAGGATTGAGAGGGCAAGGCTGGAAGTGGCTCTGGATGGCTTGGCCATGGTCAGTGACTGAGGCACTGGTCAGGGATAGAGTGTGCTCTAGGAAATAGGATGCTGAGGTGGTGGGCCAGTAGTTTCTATTCTGTGTGCCCTGATTTTTATCACTCCACAAAATTTAAAACACACATACTCATGTTAGCCCTTATAGCCCTAGTTAGTAATTTTGTTGTATAGTATTCTGTTAGGTGCATTTACCACTGGCTGTTTATTCATCAATAGACATTCTGATACTACTTAGGTTATGCCATATAAAAATGATTGGTATTGGATCATTTTTTTGCCTGCAGAAGTATCAGTTTCAGCCAGGTGCCGGTGGCTCACACCTGTAATCCTAGCTACACAGAGACTGAGATCTGAGGATTGGGGTTAGAAGCCAGGCTGGGCAGGAAAGCCCATGAGACTCTTATCTTCAGTAAACTACTCAGAAAAAGCCAGAAGTGGCACTTTGGCTCAAGTAGTAGGGTGCTAGCCTTGAGCAAAAGAAGCTCAGGCACAGTGCTCAGGCCTTTCAAGACCCATGACTGGAAAAAAAATATCAGTTTGACATGATTCTAATTCCTAACTTTTGCTGCCTCACACAGAGTGAAGTTTGTTGAACACGTTTGCATGGACAAGTGTGTATGTCTGGGGTTTGACCTAGGGGTGGCAATCTAGGGCCATAGAGCAAGCTTGACCAGAGTGAGGAGCAATTTGCACACCTGCTAGCAGATCCTCACCAGTTCTTGGTAAAGTCCAGCTGTCAGTGTCTGCTAGTTTGACGGATGTGAAATTAGGTAGCAAGTAGGTGACCGTAGTAGCTGCCTTGCCAAAGTCAGTGGTTCTTTGATGATAATATTGTAATTAGTGGCATGCTGTATGTCCCATGAGCAGTATGGCCGGCAGTGATTGACTGAAAATGATGTTAAGTGGAATAGTTATGAAGGTATAGCAGGAGTGATGATCCTATAGTAGATGTCCCTTGCTCATGTTTTGGTGGTAGGTTGATGGATAATACTTCTTTTCTTATCTTCATTTTAATGTTTCTATAATAAATATTAATAGTTTTATAATTAAAAAATCTTAAGAAGTTGTTTTCATTGATTAAAATGAGATGTAAATGAATCCCTATGGGCACAAGGCAATTTTAACTTAATGTACCAAGCCTTCTGCAAATCTATAAACAATTAAAAAATTAAACTGTTAAAGAGCATAAGAGAAAAAGTTTCAATTAGGGCTTGCCTTCAGATTTTAAGATTTTTTTTAAGTTACGGCTCTTAACAGTAATAGTGTCTGCTGATAGGGTACTCTCATTGATGACAGTGGGTGGAGATGTATTTGTTCATGTGTTGGGGGGGCCTCACACTCAAGCACATTTTCAGAAAATGTGTTTCCTGAACCTGCTGGGTGCCAGGAGGGAGTAGTTTTTTTGTTTTTTTATTTTTTGTTTTTACCTTGGCTGTATATTAGAATTATCTGGGGAACTTAAAAAAAAAATCATGGTGCTTTAGTCCCAACCCCAGTGTTCTGATTTTGTTCATCTGGGATGGGCTAGCCTTTGCATTGGTAGTTAAAAAAAAAAGAAGAAGAAAAAAAAAACACTAATAACTTCCAAACTGAATCTTGTCTGAAGTTAGAATTGAGAACCACTATTATATAACCAACTTTCTATAAAGGATGCACAATAATTTTTTTTATTTTGTGGGGAGATAGTGGTGTTTAAATTTAGCACCACATGCTTTCTAGACAGGCAGTCTTATTACTTGTGACATTTCACCAGCCCTTGTTGATTTAGTTTATTTTTCAGGTAGGATCTTATGCTTCTGCCTAGGGGAAGCCTTGGACTGATCTCCTCTGTAGCTAACATATAGTCAGAGAGGAAATATTCTATATTCTGAATGCCATGTGCCTCTGTTAACTCAGCCCATATAGAATGAATGGATCCATAGGTAATCAGTAAATTAATGTATGTAGTTAGGTTTCTTTTTCTTTTCTTTTTTTGCCAGTCCTAGGGCTAGAACTCAGAGCCTGGACACTGTCCCTGAGGTTTTATTTTATTTTTCAATTTTATTGTAAAGATGCTGTATAGATGGGTTACAGTTACCCTTGAATTTTTTTGATGAAGGCTAATGCTCTACCACTTGAACTACAGCAGCTCCACTTTTGGCTTTTTAGTGGTTAATTGGAAATAAGAATCTCACAGATTTTCCTGTCTGGACTTACCTACTCAGCCTGCTGAGTAGCTAAGATCACAGGTGTGAGCCACCAAGGCCAGATGATTTTTCAGTAAAACTTTATTAACACAAACAAGGTAAGCAGGCTGTATTAGCCCCAAGACTTGTGGTTTCCCAATACCTGCTTTAATAATAGGAAAATAGTATTTTACCATTTTTTTTTTTTTGGGTCCGGTCATGGGGCCTGAACTCTGGGCCTGGGCACTGTCCCTCAGCTCTTCAGCTCAAGGCTAGCGCTCTACCACTTGAGCCACAGTGCCACTTCCGGCTTTTTCTTTTTGCTTATGTGGTGCTGAGGAATCGAACCCAGGGCCTTGAGCATGCAAGGCAAGCGCTCTACCACTGAGCCACCTTCCCAGCCCAGTATTTTACCATTTTTAATAATGGTAAAACCTGAAAAAAATTAAAGGGTGTTAGTTTGTTTGAAAAAGAGTCTTACTGTGTAGCCCAAGCTACCATAAACTCAGAATACTTTTGCCTCCCATCTCCAAGGCATGCACTTCCACATTGATTTTTCTTTTTGCATGATGTAATAGAAAGAAAGTAGAATTTAGAGTTAAAGTTCTGAGTGCAAGTTCTAGCTGTGAATTGATTCTATAATCTTAGGGAAGTCACTTAACCTTTTTTTTTAATGCCTCTGTGATGAGTGCAGTAATAATACATACTTCTCTGGGTGGTTATGAGGACCAGCTAGCATAAAGTATATGAAAGTACTTAATAAACTGAAAATGCTAAGCTGTTCTTGTAAGTTGCTTGTTGCTTAGCATCTTGTAGATTCTAGTATAATAAACATTAAATATTTAAAGGTAAAGCATATTAAAAAACTGGAATTTAAATCCATTGTAAACATGAAACCCAAGGAAAATCGATTATACACAATGCATTTTTATTTTCTTCCACTAACAAAATAACTTTAGATGGATGAAATCTGCTTTTAAAAGAAGATGGCATAGAGGTTGGGAATGTGGCTTAGTGGTAGAATGCATGTCTAGCATGCATGAGGCTCTGGCTTCCATTCCTCAGCACCACATAAACAAAAAAAAAATTACTTACAAAAGAAGATGGTATAAAAACACATTTCCAAAATGGGGTTTCCAGGGAAGAATGAATTGTCATCATGGTTGTGAATTTTGTATCCATAATGTGCTGGTAGGGAGCTAAGGAAGGAGAAAACATCAAAGGTGCAGGTAGGGGTTGAAGGAGCTGAGGCCCAAGGAAGGCCAGACAGTGGACACTGGGTAGCACCTCTGACCTTCAGGGAAGCTCTTTCCTCAGAAGAGGAGGGAAGGAAGCGAACTGCACGCAATCAGGAGAAAGTGTGTGGGAGGAAACAAGATAGGGAAGAGGTAGGGACTACCTAGTTTGGCAGAAAAGAGAGGGTGTGGTTCTAAAGATCATTGGAGTGACAGGCATGGGTTGAGAAGGGATGGAACTGGAGCTCACTGGTGAGGGGAGGCAGCTTGATGAAAGATGAAGAGTGGATGGGGCATGCGTGTGAAGAAACATACAGGGATGGAAAAGGTGACCACATCCCTGGGCAGTGGAGGCCAGACTATGATTGAGAGCATTGGGGAGGAGGTCTGCAGAGCTGAGGAAGTCACTTCCTCTGGGGGGACCTGCCCTGACCACCTCCTTTCCTCCCGATCTTAGTTCAGTATGCACACAGGATGTACTGTACTGTGGAATTTACCATCCTGCAAGGAAATGATCAGTTCATTGATTGTATTATCTCTCCCCTCTCACCTGCTGAGATTCACTGAAAGCAAATACACTGTTCTGCCTGTTTCTGTGTTGACAGTATGTAGCATAAAACCTGGCACATGAGGCACAGAATAACTTCCCTTCATATATACGTTCAACTGAGTGCAGATTGGCTAGTTGGGGAATCTAAGACTTTAGAACTACTCGTAAGTTATGTCACCAGCTCTCTTTCTCTTTTAAACCCTGCCGTTGTAGGAAGAAATTTTCTCCCTTCTAAAGGACTACAATGTTCTCCAAGTCTGCAGAATCCAGAACGGCTGCAAATGGTAATGACTGTTCTTCCTTTGTTTGCTTTGGGAAGTAACTCCTTTCCTCTGTCCATTTGCTGATGCACTGGTGTTGCAGGCTAGCCTAGTAACTCCCAGATCCACACCCACTGATCTGGCAGAGTGACATCTGGGAAACCCCCTTTCCATATTTAACCCTGTGGCTCAGCAGCCAATACTGTCTTGTCAGTACAGCCCTAGTTTAACAGTCTTTAGACCAAGGTATATTTTTGTTGTATTCTTGCTCCATTTTTTTACTTGAGGTGGGGGATTATACCACTCTCAGAGTCAGATGCCAGTGGTTCAGGCTTGTAATCCTTGCTGCTTAAGAGCCTGTGATTGAGAGGATTGTGGTTCGAGGCCAGCTCAGGCAGAAAAGTTCATGGGATTCCCTACTCAATGGAGAGCTGGACACGGTGGTGTGCTCCTGTTATCCTAGCTACTATGGGAAGCCAAATATAGGCAGATCACACTCAGACACTCACCCTCAGGAACTCATACTCAAGCAGGAAATGGGGCCATATTTTACGATTAACTAGCATAAAAAGGAATGGAGGCATAGTTCAGTGTTAAGAGCATCTGCTTAGCAAGGGAGGCCTTGAGTACTCTTAAAAAAAGATCCTCAAAAGTTTCAGGCACCAGTGGCTCATGCTTGTTATTGTAGCTACTCAGGAGGCGGAGATCAGATGATTGTGGCTCAAAGTCAGTCCAGGCAGGAAAGTCTGTGACATTCTTTTTTTTTTTTTGTGGGTCGTGGGCTTGAACTCTGGGCCTGGGTGCTGTCCCACAGCTCTTCAGCTCAAGACGAGCGCTCTACCACTTGAGCTACAAGTGCCACTTCCGGTTTTCTGGTGGTTTATTGGAGATAGGAGTCTCATGGTCTCTCCTGCCCGGGCTGGCTTTGAACTGCGATCCTCAGATCTCAGCCTCCTGAGTAGCGTGAGCCACCAGCGCCCGGCTAGTCTGTGACATTCTTATCTCCAGTTAACCACCAAAAATCCAGAAGTGGAGCCATGGGTCAAGTGCTAGAGTGCTAGTCTAGAGCAAAAAAAGGGACTGTGTCCCTAGCCCTGAGTTTGAACACACAAGCGCATACACACGCATACACACACACATAATCCCTCAAACCAAAAAAGACTTCAAACCCACAAACATACCATAAAATATGACATGCTGATAGTCAGTTCATTTCTTCTGATTGTCAGACCAGGCCCAGTGCTCAGTCCGGATCTGATTCTGGTCTGTCTGTGTGTCCTGTCCTATCGCTGCAGAAGAGCATCAGAAGATGGCTCTGCAGTTCCTTCCTGATGCTGCCCTGCAGTTCTGATCTGCTCTTGAGCTCTGCTTATAGCTGCCCTCTCTCTCCTTTCTTTTCAGCTTTGCATTTGTAGATCTGGGATCCGTGGAGAATGTGGCACTTGCAATCCAGGAGCTGAATGGCAGGCTCTTCCATGGCAGAAAATTGTTCGTGAATACAAACAAGAGGATTCACAGAAGGACCCTTAAGGTGGCCCACTGGCCCCAGGAGCTGCAGGTAGGTCTTCTGGCCTCTCCATGCTTGGATCACCTTGTTTTCACTCCTCAGAGCTGGGCAGTCTTTGGTCTCAGTTTCTTCATCCTCCTTTGGTCCTTTCTAGCTACAGAGAAGTCAGGGCTTTAGTGAACTTTAGGAGTTTTGACCTCTAGGAGCAAAGTCAGGTGCAGAAAACTTAGAATTTCAAACAAAAGTGAATCTGTATGCAAGGACAAAAGAGATCATGAGGTAGTCCAATCAGGACTTTTCAATCTGGAATATTGAAATTCAGGTTTTAACTTGTTTACAGTAGCAAACATTAATTGAGTGTGTGTTTGCACAGCCTGATTCTGGCTGCTGGTGTGGAGCATAAGACAACGATGAGTAAAATCTGGAAGGCAAACATTGCCAAGGGGCTTTGGGGAGCAGTACCTGGAGGTGGCAGAGAAGGGGAGGCCCATACCTGATCTTCACAAGAGAGGCCCTCTTGAAAGGGATCCCCATTTCAGAGCCTGAAGTGGCTGTATTACAGAAATTGGAATGCAGTGGATTATACCTGTTAGCTATCTGTTTTTCTTTCTAGTGGAAGAAGTCAGGACAAGGTAGAGACCAAGGTTGGTCTGGGGTCCCCTTCATGTTATCAGGGATCAGGCAGGGAGAAGAAGAGAAGACATGGTAGAAGCACATCTCAGAAGCCTGAGTACAGTACTGCTGGTGTTCATTGGGTAGGATTGTGACTCCTGGTCTTCCATGCAAAGGCTGGAGGTGTGGTCTTTAAAGACAGGCACATAGTTGGGGTTCTCTCAACAAGGAAGAAGAGAGCTATTTTAATTTGCACATGACCCTGTAACCAACAGGGCATCTACAAAGCTGGAGAAGTTGGAGATGGGAGCAGAGAGATGAGTTAAAATTACCACAAGAAGAGTATCAGATGGTTCTTCTTGCTAGTTCCAAACTGTTTTTTACCCTTTCTCTTTAACTTCTGCTCTTTCAAAGGGCAGACTGTCAGATTATCCCACCAGCTCACCTTGGTTGCAGTCACCTCTATTCTTTGCCAGGACCCTTTGTCACTGGAACTGAAGTGTCTGGCTCACCATTTTTCTTGGATCATCACCCAGATTCAGTGTCTCTGTGGATGATTCCCTTACTAGACCATTGTACCTTTCATGATCTAGATTTCATGGTCTAGTTTCTCATTTTTCTAGCTATATTTCAGATCTTGTTATTGCTTACAACCAGGCATATCCAAAATATCTCAAGTATCTCATTGGATAACCCCCATCTATGAAATTCTCTTTCTTCAGAAGAGTGATTCTCAAATTTTAACAAGCATAGAAGCAACCTAGAAGTTTGTTAAAACAGTTTTTTTGTTTTTGTCGGTCGTGGGGCTTGAACTCTGGGCTTGGATGCTGTCCCTGCGCTCTTCAGCTCAAGGTGAGCGCTCTACTGCTTGAGCCACAGCACCACTTCCGGTTTTCTAGTGGTTTATTTGAGATAAGAGTCTCACGGACTTTCCTGCCCGGGCTGGCTTTGAACCATAATCCTCAGATCTCAGCCTCCTGCGTAGCTAGGATTGCAGGCGAGAGCCACCGGCACCTGGCATTAAAACAGTTTTCTAGGTCAAGTGTGGTGGTTCACACTTGTAATCTCAGTGCTCAGGAAGCTGAAACAGGAGGATCAGGCGTTCCAGGCCAGTCTGGGATACACAGAAAATCCTTTTTCTTGTGAACTAGCCTTTCTAGGGTCTCAAGTGGGCCTTCAGGGTGTTCTCTGGTCAGGTGGGAACACCATCGTCTCCCCACTATTGGATCTTTCGATGTACAGTTCCTCTCTGGTCCTTCCCCCAGGTCTGACAAAATTTGTTCTCCAGGCTTCTCAGAACATGCCCTGCACTTGGACCACTTAGAATTCAGCTAAGGAGGTGACTCTCTAGATTTCTGGGACTTCTATGTGGCTCCTTCTCCTGGAACTCTGTCCCACAAACTTCTGTCACATGAACTTCTATTGTTTTTGTTTGTTTGTTTCTGCCAGTCCCAAGACTTGAACTCAGGACCTGGGCACTGTCCCTGAGCCTCTTTGTGCTCAAGGCCTGTACTCTATCACTTGAGCCACAGGACCACTTCCCTGAAACTTCTATTCTTGCTGCCAAGTGAGAGTGCTAGTTTCTGCTTGGACTCTGCTTCCCTTTGCTGTGGTTTGTAAAAATCCCCAGGCAAAAGGCCAGAGTGAATGAGGAGTGAGGATATATATATATATATACATATATATATATATGTTATATTAATTACATATATAGTGTGTGTATATATGTGTATATGTATGAAAATGGTATAATGAGATCCACTATAAACTTGGAGGGAAGGAGAGAATGACTAATTGGGATTGTATGAGTTTGATCCAAATATAGTACAAACATGCTAAGTATATGTGTGTATGTAAGTTTAACAATGAAACCCCTTTATGCAATTAATTTAGGCTACTTTTTTATTATTGTGAAAATACTGTACAGAGGAGTTATAATTACATGGCCAAGATAATGAGTACATTTCTTATCAAGCATTGTAGCCTCCTCCTGTGTTTCCCCTTCCCATCCCATCCTTTCCCCCCCCAACCCTCCTCCCCCCCCCCCACCAAAGATGTAAAGTTTGTTTTCGACATGACTTGTATGTCTCATTGTTGCATTGGGTCCACCTGTATCCCTATTTAAACAATTTGTTTTTTCCCTTCCCCTCCACAAATTATAACAACATCAAATACAGTGAAAGCAGGGGTTATACCGTGGGGGAGGGACATACAAAGCAACAAAGAAATCATCTTATAAATGTGTTAGAAACAATCGCATGAAAGAAAAAAACATTTGAATACATATCTTAGGGTTCATTTCCCTAACATCAATTTATCTGACCTTTTCTGCTTGACTCAGACATATACTAGTTATTGCAAATAAGGGAAACCATGGGACCTATGTTTCTTAGGCTACTTTTTTTTTAAGAAACAAAATTTTGATTTTGAATGATTTTTTTTTTTTTTTTGGCCAGTCCTGGGGCTTGAAGTCAGGGCCTGGGCACTGTCCCTGAGCTTCTTTTGCTTAAGGCTAGCACTTTACTACTTGAGCCATAATGCCACTTCCAGCTTTTTCTGTTCATGTGGTTCTGAGGAATTGAACTCAGGTCTTTATGCATGCTACACAAGCACTCTACCACATTCCTAGCCCTGAATGATGTTTTTCTGCAGTTCTCTATTTTTAAAAATTTTATTTTAAGGGTGTTTTTAGTTGTTCATAAAAGTATTTTATCATGGCTTCCCTGAAATATTTGTCAGGTAATTCTGACATGTGTGTCATTTTGGCGTTGGCAGCAATTGATTGTGTTTTCATTCAGTTCAATATCTTTCTGGTTCTTGGTATGACAGATGAACCTGGGCATTTTCTTCTAAGTTATGAGACTGGATTTTATTTCATTCTATTCTTCCTCCAGCAGTGAGGGGAGGAGTCCAGGTCCTCACTGGGCTGCCTTGGGTTGTGGAGGCTCCTGGTCACTGCTGTTTCTGGCTCATGGTTTCCACTGATACATTGGTGGGAGTGGCTTTGTTGCCACGGTAGAAATTCCTAGCTCTTCAGTGGACTTCCTCTGGCCTACCCCAGCAGGGATCAGGAGGGACTTATTCCTGTTGGGTGAATGTGGACATCTAGGATTTCCATGTTGTCTCCATTGATACCCAGGCTGTGTAGTGGGGGCCAGGGGAGGGAGGCTGGTTTTGTTATTGATACCACCAGGTATTGGGGTAGAAGGCTACTCTCCTGTTCTGCTTTTGCTGAGGTGTATGGTGGGGTCACTTCTTTTGTGGTATTTGGTTGGAGTAAAAGTTATACCCTAAAAGTTTTCTGTCTTATGAAGCAGTGTTCTTTCTAGCCTTTTAGCTTGAGAAAGAAGGCTTTGTTTTGTCTATTCTTTTTGGTTTTTCTAGGCTGCTTAGACTTCTCAGTTCTAAGTCTGGGATGTACAAGTTAAAAGGAAACCCCAGAGAACTCATCACTATGCTGTACCTTGAGTTACCAGGTCTCTAGGTATTCTGCATTCTTCACTCTACCTCTCAGAGTCCTCTTACGTTTGTCTTATATGCACCATCCATAGTGTTTAGTTTTATTTAGTAGAGGAATAGGAAGAGACGTGCCTGTCCCACCTTATCAGAATAGAAGTTCTCGGAGTGGTTTAAAATTTTTTTTAATGGTTAAGCTGGGCGCCAGTGGCTCATGCCTATAATCCTAGCTACTCAGGAGGCTGAGAACTGAGGATCATGGTTCAAAGCCAGTCCGGGCAGGAAAGTCTGTGAAACTCTTTTTTTTTTTTTTTTTTTTGGGTCCGGTCGTGGGCCTGATCTTTGGGCCTGGGCGCTGTCCCTCAGCTCTTCAGCTCAAGGCTAGCGCTCTACCACTTGAGCCACAGCGCCACTTCCGGCTTTTTTCTTTTTGCTTATGTGGTGCTGAGGATCGAACCCAGGGCCTCGAGCATGCAAGGCAAGCGCTCTACTGAGCCACCTTCCCAGCCCCTTGAAACTCTTATCCCCAATAAACCACCAGAAAACCAGAAGTGGCGCTGTAGCTCAAGTGGTAGAGCGCTAGCCTTGAGCTGAAGAGCTGAGGGACAGTGCTCAGACCCATGTCTGACAAAAAACAACAGCAACAAAAATTAATGGTTGAAACAAACCAAGTGAATGATATTTATTGACAGATGATGGCGATGATACTGAAATTTCAGTGTCAGCTGAGGTGTAGTGTGGTGGCTTTCACTTGTAATTCCAGCACTCAAGAAGCTGAGACTGGAGGATCTCTAGAAATGTGGAGTCAAAAAACATGCTCAATGCCGGGCGCTGGTGGCTCACGCCTGTAATCCTAGCTACTCAGGAGGCTGAGATCTTAGGATCGAGGTTCAAAGCCAGCCCGGGCAGGAAAGACTGTGAGACTCCTATCTCCAATAAACCACCAGAAAACCAGAAGTGGCGCTGTAGCTCAAGTGGTAGAGCACTCGGCTTGAGCTGAAGAGCTGAGGGACAGCGCCCAGGCCCAGAGTTCAAGCCCCATGACCGACCAAAAAAAAAAAAAAAATGCTCGAAGTATTTGTTAGCAGAAATCTATAAAGGGATGGATAATAAAATGAAGCCGTAAACAAAAAAAAAGAGGCAGTCTTAAGATCCAACCAGAGAAAGTTCTGGAATACTCATCTCAGCTGATGTAGGCAGGAAGGAAAAAGGAAAATTGAGATGTGTTTTAAAGAGCTATTCCCATTATCAAGTAAGAAAGCTGAGTTGACAATTCAAGGAAATATAAGCAAATGGAAGTGGGAAAAGCAGCATTAATTCCTAGAGAAGAGGTTATGTAAGAATAAAAATAGCAGTAATGGTAACATGGACAATATCACAACACCAAAGGGTTTAAGTAGGGAGCCAAATAACTAGGCTTAACTAGTTTACATTAAAAAATCAAACTTATTGAAGTACTATGTATACTTTTTTTTTTTTTGTCGGTCGTGGGGCTTGAACTCTGGGCCTGGGCGCTGTCCTTCAGCTCTTCAGCTCAAGGCAAGCACTCTACCACTTGAGCTACAGCACCACTTCCGGTTTTCTGGTGGTTTATTGGAGATAGGAGTCTCACAGTCTTTCCTGCCCGGGCTGGCTTTGAACCGTGATCCTCAGATCTCAACCTCCTGAGTAGCTAGGATTATAGGCGTGAGCCACCAGCGCCCGGCTCTATGTATACTTCTTGAAGGATAATTTACTTAAAACGAAACCATTTTAGTGTGGTTAGATGAATTTTGTCAAATGTATATATGACTGTGTAACTACTGTCACTGTTATCCATATGCCATCACAGGATTCTCTCATGTCCCTTCCCATCAGCCAATAATTGCCCTAACCCCTTGTGGCCCCAGGCAGGTACTGATATTCTTGCTATCTCCTTAGATGAGGTTTGTCTTCCCTGGAGGTCCCTGTGCATGGATCTCTCTCATAGGCTTCTTTCTCTATGTCTGGCTTCTTTCACCTGGTGGAATGTTACCAAGGTTAGCTGTTGGCTGCTTCTTCAGAATTCTTCATTTCTTAGTGCTATTCTACTATGTGGATGCAACCACCATTTATGTGTCCATCAATGTTTAAAGTTTAGGGTTTGAACACAGGGCCGTGGTTTACTTAGGCAAGCTTTCTGCCACTTGAGCCAGACCTGTAGACATAGATTTAAGTTTTCAAAGAACCCTATAGAGTCAGAGAGGAAGCAGAAAGACTTCAGCAGTCCAGTACAGGATGACAATGTCTTGTAGCAGTCCCAGTGATGTTCCTATGCATGCCAAGTTCATCCTCACCACAGGATCTTTGGAACTGCTACTGCCAGCCTGAAGGCTCTGCTGTAGATGACCAGAGGCTTGGCTTTTTCAGCTCCTTCCAGCATCTGTTAAACTGTCATCTCCTCAGAGCTCTTCCTGAGACAATGCCCACCCCAGGCTTTCTCCATCCTTCTTGCCTGTTTCTTTATTGCCACTCCTCAACATTCCTCTCTGTAGACTTACCTTAGTGTCTACTGCTTCCCTGAGAATGTGAGCTTCAGGCAGGCAGGCAGGTACTTTAGAAATACTCGTAAAACAAGTGTGGACTCCCTGAGAACAGGGCCTATGCATTTTCCCTTTTTTTTTTTGTCGTGGGGCCTGAACTCTGGGCCTGGGCACTGTCCTTCAGCTCTTCAGCTCAAGGTTAGCACTCTACCACTAGAGCCACAACGCCATGTCTGGCTTTTTCTGTGTATGTGGTACTGTGGAATCGAACCCAGGGTCTCATGAATGCAAGGCAAGCTTATAGGCATCAGTCACCACCAGTACACTAGTGCCTGGCTTTATTCATCTTTTTTTTTTTTTTTTGCAGTTTGGTCTTGGGTTTGAACTCAGGGCCTCACTAAGGCTAAGTCGATGCTCTACTAACTTGAGTCACACTTCTAGCCCTTTCTTTTGTGTCAGTTCTGGGGATTAAACTCTGGGCCTGGGGAACTGTCCCTAAGTTTTGTGCTCAGGCTAGCACTTTACTACTTGAGTCACAGTTTCATTTCTGGGTTTTTAGTAGTTTATCAGAGATAGGAGTCTAACAGGCTTTCCTGGCCTGGCTGGCTTCAAATTGCAATCCTCAGATCTGAGTAGATAGGATTGATTATAGGCATGAACCAGCCCTTTTTTGCTTTAGTTTTCAGATGGGTTTTCACATTGTTTTCCCATGTTATGCCTCAGACTTCGATCCTCCCACAGAGCTGGGCTAACAGGTATACATGCCACACCCAGCACTGTGTTAAAATGAGGTCTCACTAACTGGTCTCCAACTGTGATTCTCTCATTCTCTGCTTCCCCAGCAGCTGAGAATACAAAATGTAAGTTATAGAGCTCAATCTTATATCATCTTTTAATTCTTTGACACTAAATATCACCTGGCATTTTCTTGTCTCTTATATGTTTTTTCCTCCATAATGCAAGCATCATAAAAACAAGAGTCACACTTATCTTCAGACAATTATCTTGAGTCTGAATCAATAATAGAGCCTAGAAAATGTCTAGTATATGCTAAATCCTCAATGTACATTATGTACTTCCACATACATGGCAACTGCATGAATGAAACAGTTCTTTCTTTCCTTTCTGTTCCATGACTGGCACTTAGTTTTCTGTGAGCAGTTGGACTAATGTGGGAGGAAGGGAGAGGAGGAGAGAAAAGAAAGAAAAAGAACGAAAGAAAGACAAAGAAAGAAAGAAGCCGGGCACCGGTGGCTTACGCCTGTAATCCTAGCTACTCAGGAGGCTGAGAGCTGAGGATCGTGGTTCAAAGCCAGCCCGGGCAGGAACATCCATGAGACTCTTCTCTCGAATAAACCACTAGAAAACCAGAAGTGGTGCTGTGGCTTAAACGGTAGAGCGTTTGCCTTGAGCTGAAGAGCACAGGGACAGCGCCCAGGCCCAGTGTACAAGCCCCATGACCGACCAAAAAAAAAAAAAAAGAAAGAAAAAAGAGAAAGGCAGAAAGAAAAATAAAGAAAGAAAAAAGGAAGAAAGAAAAGGGAAAGAAAGAAAGAAAAAGGAAAATAGGCTAGTGTTAGTGTGGTGGGTATAGCGGGAGAGAAGGTGTGCGTTTGGGGTTGTTGGTGATGACTTTGATGTGAGAAGCTAGCTAGATGAGCTTGGTCTGAATAATGTTGTGGTGCACTCACACGGAGAGTGTGGTTGGGGCGGCTTGAGGAGGGGCTCTTTTGAACACACTGAGTCTAGTCTGCACTTCCTAGGTTTGCCATCAAGTGGGCATCTCCACATTTGAGTAGAAAGAATTTTCGAGAGTGACAAGGATGGAAAGCCAGCTTTCAGAATCTGTGTGATTCACTGTTGTCCCAAACCATGGGAAGTGGGTACAGCCCTGGAAAGAGGCAGAAGGGAGAGGAACGTCTCTACAAACACAAATGTTTCTAGAAAGAGGGAAGGGGGGAATACTGGCAGTAAATTCAGTTCAGAGGAGTGACTGTTAGCTTTGGCAAAGTGAAGGTCACTGCTGGCTGTGTGCAGATGCATTTCTAGGGAACCTGAGGGGAAATGTCAGGTGTGGGAGCAAACGGGACCACAGCCTGACTGGTGAAGAGAGCAGAGAAGGGCAGTGGCTGATGTGGGGTCAAGTCAGGGTATTTGCAAACATGGACAACAGGACATTCTGTTTCCTAGCCAGGAAAGGTTCCCATAGGAGATACAGTAATGGAGGACAGCCTAGCCTGTTCCTACAGATGATATGGAGCCAGAGCAGGTCCCAGGTAGTCATGGTGGCAGGGGGCTGGCTGAGAGAGTCGGTGTGTGCAGTTTACATGGTGAGATAAAGGATTTCCCATCTGATCCATCCCGTGTGCCTGTGATGGACAGACAAGCGTCACCAGGTGAGGGCTGAGTGTGTAGGGTAGTGGTTTGAAGAAAGGAGAGGGAGGAAATAGGGTCAGCAAGGGCTTCTGTGAGGGTGTGGTGTTGAGTGTTCTCTGGCAGCCACTGGGTATAGGGAGGCAATTAGGAGCAGACCCTTGGGTTTAACCAGAACCTGGGCTTTCCAGGTGAGAACAATGGAGATGGGGAATTGGGAAGTACAGGGCTGTAGGCAATGGCTGGCTTCCAGGTCTATTATCCCCATGCACAGCTCTGTGCTCAGCATAACTATTCTCACCTCTCTCCTCTTCTCTCCAGGAAGTGTCAGCCAGGCCTTGCTGCTTATGTCCCTTGTCTAGGGAGAGCAGCTTGAAGGAACACCGCTTTGCAACAGCTCCCCTCCCACCCTCACTTCTTTCTGCACGTCTCTTCTTCAGACTGGCCTAAGATGCAGAAAGACAGGAGAGGCTAAAAAGCCCAGGATCTGGGCTGGGGCCATGGCTTTAAGTGGTGCAGAGTGCCTGCCTAGCAAGCATGAGGCACTGAGTTCAGATCCCGTACCACCAAAAGAAAGAAAATTCCTAAAAGCCCCAAACTAGCTGGGTACCAGTGCCTCAGACCTGCAATCCTAGCTACTCAGGAGGCTAAGATCCAAGGGTTAAGGTAGAAAGCCAGCCTGGGCAGACAAATCTGTGAGCCTCATCTCTAATTAACCAGCAAAAAGCCAGAAGTGAACATATGGCTCAAGTGGCATAGTACCAACCCTGAGCAAAAAGTCCAAGCAAGAGAGCAAGGGCCCTGAGTTCAAGCCCCAGTACTGGCACAAAAAAAATACAAAAAAAAACAACCAAAAAAAAAAAACAAAACAATAAACCAACCCTGAAACAAAACAAAAGAACAAAAGAAAACAGGAATGTTGCTGCTCTTTCCAAACTGACTTGGGATAATCCAATACATAAATCAATAAAAATAAGTGCTGCCAATACCTGAGTAAGGCTTCTTTTCTTTCTCCCCAGGCTTTGGAAACATCTTGTGGTGAAGAGGTTGCTGGTGAGACCTTGAGCTGCCATCCACGCTATGGCTCTGCAGTGCTTCCTTTACCCCTCCAGCCGGTCAGGGTTCCTGGGTCCTACAGTCTCCCATTCCAGCTTTGTCCCCTGCTGACCTTCAGTGCAGGGAACTTTTCACCTTTTTCTTTCTCCCTTTTCATTATTTCTTCCTCTAGGCCACTTTTTTAGCCCAAGAAGGCTCTAAAAGCTGAGAGTGGAAAGGTGCAATTCTTTTTGGCCCATCTTAGACCACTTTTGATGAGCTCGGGCCCTTTTTGGGGGAGGAGAATGCATTCTCCCTCCAGAACTTATTTTTACTTTCTAGCTTGTGCACAGATCACTCCTAAAAAGTCTATTGATCCCTGTGAGACAGAGAAACTGAGGGAAGCCTTGACAGTTCCTGTGGAAATGAGGTGAGCATGGATCGGGAGGGACACCTGGTCAAATAGTGATGACTGTGTCATTCTGTCCACAGTGTTGGGTGGAAGATGAGGTTTTTAGGAACTTCTACATCATGCTGAGGTGTAAGAGTAAGTCACACTGACTGATAATATTGGTTTCCATTTATATGTAGTGAAAGCCCTTTCCATGGAGTCAGAGATCAAGTTCCAGCACCTCTTCCAATTTACTTTTACAGTGGACAATGTTCTTAATATCAGGGATACCAGAATGGTCTGATTGGCATGTCTAGGACAATTTCCTTTCCTTTCCTTTCCTTCTCTTTGGTTCTTCAGCAGTGTTATAGATGGAACCCAGAGTCTTGAGCTACATGCTCAGCTTTATTTATTTGTTTGTTTGCTTGCTTGCTTATTTATTTTTGTTCTGGTTCTGGGGCTTGAGCTCAGGGGAGCTTCTTTTTGTTCAAAGCTAGCACTCTACCACTTAAGCAACAGCTCTACTTCCAGCTTTTTTGGTAGTTTATTGGAGATAAGACTCTCATGAACTTCCCTGCCACAGCTTCATTTCCAGCTTTTTTTTTTTTTTTTTTTTTTTTGTCGGTCATGGGGCTTGAATTCTGGGCTTGGGCACTATCCCTCAGCTCGTCAGCTCAAGGCGAGTGCTCTACTGCTTGAACCACAGCACCACTTCTGGTTTTCTAATGGTTTATTGGAGATAAGAGTCTCAAGGACTTTCCTGACTATGCTGGCTTCAAACTGTGATTCTCAGATCTCAGCCTCCTGAGTAGTGTTTTTTTTTTTTTTTTGACAAGATCTTGCCATGTAGGTCAGGTTGGTTCTGAACTGGTGATCCTGTTAGCTCGGACTGAGTGCTAAAATTTACAGATGTGTACCACCCTGTCCAGCTTATTTTATATTTTGAAACAGCAGGTTTGCCTTACTAACCACATGTCCAGGCACTAGAGCTACTGCCATGGGAGAGTGAAGTTTGGAGAGTCAGACCTCAGGGAGGAGCTGCTCTGAGACTCAAGCACCTCCCACACTAGTGTCATTCAGAAGTTCCTGAGTCTGTTGCTCTCTGCCCGCCCTCCCCGGCCCCCACCCCCATGGACTTTCATGATGTGTGTGTCCCCTCTGCTATTCTGGAATCCCCCAGCATCCTTTCCTCTGGCATGCAATATGTTGCCTTGGCAGCACATACTTCCATTACTCCCACCCCTGGAGAGCGGGGCACAACCTCCTGCCTAAACTGGTCTTATGGCCAATGCAGCTTCTTACCTACAGGACAGGTGCTGCCTTAGTTCTCTCCTTTACATACCCTCTTCTTTTGCTCCCCTTGCTCTTCCCCCAGAGGATCCTTCCTAATGCTGCTTCTAGAGGAATGCTTCCGAGACCTGGACTGGCTGGCCCTCATCCACAGCGTCCAGGGGAAGGTGGGGCTGCTGGTGACCAACATTGTTCCTTATACTCCATTTTTCTGGGCCATGAACATCACAGAGGTAGGGGTTGAATGGTGGCCCTCTTGGGCTCCTGTGCCTTTTTCTGGGGGTGATTTGTAGTGACGGGAGCTAGTGGTAGAGATGCAGAGCAACTGCAGTCTGCTCTCTGATTCCAATCTCATCTTCTACCTCAAGGGAACTTTTGGTTCCCTTGGGACAGATTAGTGGGCTACTCTGACAGGTGGCAGCTGCAGGAACAGATGTGTGATGCGGGGCAGGTGGTGAGGCCCACTGTGTTTACACGACCCATAGACGATGCACCAGAACATGCAAATACTGTTCAGCACCCTGGCAGACGTAGAGGAGCAGCGGCCCTTCCTGCCTGAGTCGGCTGTGCAGCGTGGGACTCGTTGTCTGGCAAAGCACCACCTAGGGGACTATGGTCCTGCCTGGAACAGGTGGGGAATGGAGAAGGAGTGGGAGTGCTGTTCCTTTCTTCCTGCATCTCCTCTTCTGGACTCTGGCTTTTGTTTTGCTGCTTCCTTTATCAAGGTTTTCTTGGCTTAGGGCTTCCCTCCCCAGAAGACTGAGGACAGAGGACAGAGACTGAGATCTCGTTAAGAGAGATTATGATGTCTGGCAGTGGACGACTGTTCCATCTCTTTCCTCCTTCCCTTTGGCAGGTGCTGGGTGGTAGACAGGGTTGACTCCTGGGCTGTGGTTATGTTCATTGATTTTGGTGAGTTGGCTACCATCCCTGTGCAGTCTCTGCGCAGCCTGGACAGCGATGACTTCTGGACCATCCCACCTCTGGCTCAGCCATTCATGCTGGAGAAAGGTGAGCTGTCTCTTCTGTTCCCCTGAAGATCATGGACAGTTGTCTGCCTACCTCTGGGACATCAGTGGAGACACTACATTGGATACTTTCAGTTTCTGTTCTTTCCATCTCCTCCTAGATTCAACATCTGCCCCTAGTAAATCTGCTTTTTGAGGGTTGGTTTTCACACCTGAGCTCTGGAGCCCCAAGATCTTGAGAAACGTCAGCTGCTACCCAAAGGCATTGTTTTCTGGGTGGATTGGGGAAAAGACTTCCCACCCTTAATTCTGCCAGAGCCACTCAGCTGATAGCTGTGTTATGTACTTTCTGTTTTAAGATTTCTTTGGAAAAGGAGTCTGCTGTTGAATAAAAATAGATTTTGAAAACCAGTGCAAAAGTTAGAGCACAGGATTCAGAGTCTTCTGAGGTGTCATCCATTTAGTCTTGAGTTTCCATACCTGGAAATGAAAAAGCCTCTTCATTGCCCTGCCCTATCTTAAGATTGAAGATAGATGTAAAGATCAGGAGAGGTGGAGGTGACAAATCTAGAACACAGAACTAGAAAAACATTTCCCAGAAGTGTAGTGGGAGGCTGGCAGCCTTGTCCCTAGTTGTCAGGGAGCACCACCCAGAGGGCATCACAGGTCACTGCATGAAGACGACCCCTGTTGCCTAGCCAGGGTCAGGAGCTTGCTGGGATATTGGAGAGTAGCAAAGGATCTTCCCATCCCAAGAGCAGCTACCAGCCTGCCAAGGGCCAGAGTGCCCAACCCAGCTGTGTTCTCTGCTTAGAGGTTGCATACGTGGACCTTTCTCACCCACCCCTGGAAGGTGGTTTCCTCTCTTTGTAGATAAGGGGAGTAAGGCTCAGAAAAGTGAAAGACTATCCTCATTTCAGGGCATGAAAATGTTTTGGAGGCTGGGGTAGGAAGGCAGGAATTGAGTTGGGAAAGAACGCTTAGAGATTTTTTTTTTTTGGTCGTGGGGCTTGAACTCTGGGCCTGGGCACTGTCCCTGCGCTCTTCAGCTCAAGGTGAGTGCTCTACCACTTGAGCCACAGAGCTAGTTCTGGTTTTCTGGTGGTTTATTGGAGATAAGAGTCTCACAGACTTTCCTACCCGGGGCTGGCTTTGAACCGTGATCCTCAGATATCAGCCTCCTGAACAGCTAGGATTAAAGACGTGAGCCCCCAGTGCCTGGGTTTTAAAAATATTTTTAAATTAGTATGTATTAGTTGTACATGGGGGGGGAGGTCATTGTGGAAAGTTTTTTTGTTGTTGTTGTTGTTTGATTTTTGGTTGGTTCTGATGCTTGAACTCAGGGCCTGGGAACTGTCCTTGAACTTCTTTGTGCTCAAGGCTGGTGCTCTACATCTGAACCACAGCACCACTTCTGGCTTTTTTTTATTGGAGATAAGAGTCTCACAGAGACTTTTCTACCTAGGCTGGCTTTGAACCCTGGTAATCAGATCTCAGCCTCCTGAGTAGCTAGGATTATAGGCCACTGGCTGGGCAAAAAGTGGGTTTTTGATGGGCTCCTCCTTGCCTTAATCCAGTATGTGGGAACACAAGTCTACCTAAGTGCAACCCTCTGCTGTGTGTGTGTGTTTGTGTGTGTGTGTGCGTGTGCGTGCACATGTGCATGCACGGGCTCACCTTCCATTCTTAGGGCTTGAACACAAGAGCCTAGGCACTTTTCCTGCGCTTTTTTGCTCAAGGCATGCACTCTATCACTCAAGCCACAGCTCTACTTCTGGTGTTTTTGGTGGTTAATTGGAGATAAGAGTTTCATAGACTTACCTGCCCAGGCTGGCTTTGAACCATGATCCTCATATCTCAGCCTCTTGAGTAGGTAAGGATCACTTGGCACCTGGTGAAACTCTGCTTTTAAATCTTCACATCTCCAGTTGAAGCTCTGAGCTGAGTGAAAACCATTTTCTGTCCCCAGTAGATTTTCCCATTAGCAAACATAAAACCCAGATCCCTGTAATTATTTTAACAACAATAATAATGCTGCCTCCTTTTATATTTTGCCACCCCTCCTTCCCACCTTTTCAGCTCTTACCATCTTTTTATCTTGGCAGCAGGGAATTAGCAGGAACTAGCAATGACTTGTTGAGGAACTGTTCTATAACCAGAGTACTTTCCCTGTGGTCCCCACCTCTTGCTTCCCTCCACCACACCATGTGCCATTGAGGTTCTGTTGTTTTGTTTTGCAGACATTTTCCCTTTACATCTGGGTGTTTATCAAATCCTCAAAGGGAAAATCACTGGTGCTTTGAACTCAGAGGTAACTGCCCCTTACCTATTTCCAACCTTGGGGTTTGGACAGTGACCACTTGCCTGAGCCTGGATTTTGTGGGTTTCCTTGGCATCCTCTTCAATGATACAAATGGGAGTTATCCAACACATTGAGATATTGGCTCAAGGTGATCATCCTTTCTACTGAGACTTTTTCTTTTCTTTCAGGTGCACATCCTGAAGTTTGAAGAGCTTAAATAAGAGGCTACACCAAACACATTACCTCTCATGTCTGCCTACCCTGCTCTGGAGTGTTCTGTACTCTTAGTTTTGGCTGAAAAAGAAAATGCCAGTGTGCCCATCAGTGCCCATCATTGATAGGATTTCCATTTTGCTTTTACTTCCAACTCGCCTCTCAGAAAGAATAGTCTCATTTTTGTGTTTCTTCAGTTCCCAAATTTGGCAAGAACATTTGAACCAAACCTAAGAAACTTCCATTAGGTTGAAAGCCTAAAGCAGCCAGCGAATTTTTCTGATCTTTTTTGTTTATATCCAAGAGGAAGACAAAATGCACTAACAGATTCTAGAGAATGGAAGAACCTCCCTGCCTGGTTTTCCTGGGGTTGTTTCATGTAGTATCAGGTAGAAAGAGCCATTTAGCTAGTGAGCTACCACCTTAGAAAATTAATGTTGGCATGTTTCACATATGGGGTGATTAATACATTGGACCACTACCCAGCCCTCAAAAACTGCTGCATAGCCAGGTGCTGGTGGCTCATGCAGGTGGCTCCTAGCTACTCATGAGGCTGGGGTTATGGTTCACAGCCAGCCCAGGCAGGAAAGTCTTTATCTCCAATAAACTACTCAGAAAAAGCTGCAAGTGGTGCTGTGACCCAAGTGGCAGTGTGCTAGCATTGAGTACAGAGGCTCAGGGACCACTACCAGGCCAAGTTCTAGCCCCAGCACTGGCAGAAAAAAAAAAAAAAAAGCAACTGCTGCAGCGAGATTGAGAAGCCCTGAAATGCTCACTTTGCTCCCAGTTTGTGGGCTCTGGGCCATGCAAACCTTGCTCTATTTAGATACTTAAGATATAAAGCATTTTGTTTCTATTAGAGAAAATCTCTGACAGAGCCTTGTTTCTTGTGCATTGTAACTTTGTAAAAACCCTGAGCTTAAAGTCATAGAAAGGAGTGTTAGGTTTGAAAAATGGAGGCTTCTCTCAGGTTGGTGTCACAATTCACAGCAGGTAGGTTTTTCTTTTATGTCAAGTGAGCATCAATCCACTGTTTCTTTAAATAAATTTATTAGAGCCAAACTATTTAAATAATTTTATTTGTTTCATCCTTTGGTAGATGAGAAAAATACATTACAAAATACATTATACAGAGGACAGCTCACAGTACACGTTACTAAAAACACAATCTACATTCCAGCCAGGGCTGGTGGTTAAGTTCAGAATAAGCTGCAGAGGCTATGGAAACCAGATTTCGGCTCTATGGAATGAATTTTGCCCTTGTGACCCCTCTTTATTTCAGCCTCAGCATGTATTAGCACCCCTAATCAGGTGGGTGAGGACAAGAGTTGGAGCAGCATTGTGTAGGACTGTTAAAACTCTCTATCCACCTAAAGCAGCAAGACATGTGAAAGTCCCTCAAATGAAAGAGGATAGGGAAGATGACCAGGTTCAAATTGTGCCTCAAAACCACTACAGAACTTTTCTGACCTTCTATACATTCCCAGTCAGCGGTCTCATACCTAGGTTTTTTCTAAGATTTGATCCTTCACTTCTTGGTGCTGCTGTTTCAATCTTTTACTCATAGGCAGTCCTAAGGAGTCTTAGCACAAAGCAAGCTGACGAGATGTAGGCAGCACCTGCCATATGCAAAGCCACACCCACACTTTCATAAAGCAGGTACACATAACAGCACCAACAGTTCCAACTTAGTATATACTCCCCCCACCTCACTTTCGCTTCCTAGGAGTTCCACAAGGCTGGGGAGAGTACACAAGTGCACAGAACCACCCCTTAGAGCTAACCATTTCCAGTAGGATTCAACAAAGGGGAATGGCATGAAAGAATCCACAGTTCTCCAAATCAGACAGTTTACTTCAGGGCCATGCCCGTCTTCTTACAAAATCAAATGAAGCAACCAACAGGAAGGTGAACTGCACACAACCATCCCATGCTAGTCAGGAGCCACTTTTCAAGGAGGAGAATAGCCAGCGAACTGAAGTTGTAGCTCTTCTGTAGCTGCGACTAGACACCACATGAACTCTTGGGCCACTTTGTCCCATCCCTGCTTATTTAGAGTGGCCTCTTTTGCCTCATTTTTTTCCTAGAAATTTGAAAACATACTAGAAGTAAAAAATAGTCCCTAGCAATCAAAACTATCTCAGCTGCTACACTAGTTCATCAGGCCAGGCTCCACCTTCCAAGGGGCACAGGTGCTGGATGCTCCACAGGCCAGGAGAAATCTAGAGTGGACTAGGCAGGTGCTTCTGTTCTGCATCTCTTGTGCTGGTAGCAAAGCAGCCTCTCATCTCTACCAAAGCACCTGGTTCTCTTCCCCCCACCTCCCAAACAGTCAGGGGATGGGGGTGGGGTGGAATGTGGGAATAAAAATAAAGATGAGTCAAGACCAGCATCTTCAAATTAACAAACTGTAATTGTTTTCCCAAAGATACATTTTTTCATACACATCCATCATACACTGTAACCAAAAAAAGCAGTGTACATGAAATAAGAGAAAATAAATTAAAAATCCATAGCATAGGTAAGGAGGCTCTAGTCTGGAGCACAGCTGAGTTCCCAGCAATATAAGGAGGCTCGAGAGTTTCTTTATAAGAATGCCTGCTAGCAAGGGTTCCAGCAAGGTGGTTGGTTGGTCTGTAGTCAGTCTTGAGTACTTGAAACAGTTCTGTGTTTTGTTTTTGTTTGTTTTTTCCTTAGCGTTTAGAATAGCCATCATTGTCCTGCAATAGGCAGAGCTATCACGTCCAGGAAAAATGAGGGAGGGAACCACAGAGGCAGCGTGAGATCCAAATACAGCATTCAAAGGTAATTGGTCCAGTGGTGCCTGGGGAAGGAGGGAAGGGATGACACTCCAGAGTTAGCCGTCTTCCTTTGGGGGTGTGTACCAGCCTGCAAGAAAACAACATATAGTGAGGGCAAACCAATGTATCCCCACCCAACTCCAATCTTCAAGGACACCTATTGTTCCAGGCAAGATCCTAGGAAGGCTGTCCAACAGGAGGCTGCCTACCTGGAGGTTATAAGGAGAGGGAGAATGAGGAGCCCAACCTGAAGTGACAGAAGAGCTAGATGAGCTTTTTACAGGGTGGTACGCAGAGGGAAGCAGCAAGCTACCCATGAAACCACCACTGGTGCTTCTCTAGAAGAGTGGTGTTAGCCACCTTCAGGCCTTCTCTGGACAGTGAGCAGGTAGGTGCTGGGTTAATGGGTGCTATGGCTCAGAAACCAAAAAAGGGTTCTTGCTATTTGGCTGAAGTGAAAACCTGGGCCTGGCAAGTGTCCGGCTCGCTTGGGGGCCTGGCTCCAGCCTCACCGTTTTTTTCGTGGATCTGCACCAAGGACTTGTAGGACTGCTGTGCTCTTGTCAGACTGTATTGAGACTGGGAAGAGGAAACCACCAGATCAAGCCATGGCCAGCAGCGGCCTTACTGCCCCTCACCTTGCACAATCTTACACCTAGGGACCCAGGTGTCCCAGCACCCCAGCACTGCACTCTGGTATAACACTTAAGTACCCTGGCCTTCGAGGTCCCCTAGGGACACAGTGCTGTAGCCTTCCCAATTCAGACCTGTGGAAAAGTCTAGAAATGTCAAAAGTCTGATGGTGACCCTCAGGCCAATGTCCTGCTCTTCCCACTACTGCCTCCCCAGGCCCTTTCCTCCAATGCCACCAGCCCAGAGATCTTATTCTCTTGGTGCCTCAAAGGCAGCCTTGGTTTGCCAGTGATCCAAACTGTACTTGGCTCTAGCACCCCCTCCAAGTACAGGCCCAAGCCCCTTACTTTGTTGGCTCCAAACTGCACCCGTGCTTTCCCCTTCACCAGCGTGGCGCTGATCTGCATGATCACTGACTCTATGGAGTAGGCACTGCTCCAGCCCTGAGGCATGGGAGGGACAAAACAAGCAAGTCAAGACACATCTTCCAGAGACACCACCTGCTGTTTCTCAAGGAAAGCAGCTGCTTCAATCAAAGGGTCCCTGCCCTTCACCCCCAGTACAGCCATCATCTCTGTCTAGGTCAGTGAGTACAGGCCATGACTGGCTGAAAGAGCCACATTATCCTTGTTATAACAACACCATAGGTCGGGTGAAGTTCTGCCCAGCCCACCCAGGCCAGGCCAGTCAACAGTGTGAGACAGGCTCACCTGCTTGGTGAGAAGTTCCATGCAGATGGCACCTCCGCCAAGAACATATCTGCAGAAGAAAGGCCAGTTAGATGTACCTGGCTATGCCCCTTCTTTACCCTCTCCCTTAGGAGTCACCCTCACCCAGCCACTCACCCTCCAGAGAGGACTGGAGACACAACCCTGACGAATGGTGGGTCAAAAGGAAAGTTATCCTGAGAGAGAGGGGGGGGGGGAAGACAGCAGTCAGGGAATAGAGGCCAGTGTCCTTGCAGGACAGACAGGGAAGCCTAAGTCAGGGAGGAAGAGATGGGAATGGAAAGTCTTACTTTAAAGGAGAAGTTAAGTAGGATGAAGTCGGCCCCTTCCTTCTCTTTGAGGATCTGGAGATCATTGTGCAAAGCGCTGTCCTGGTCAACTCTATGGGAGGAGTCTGGCTCAGTCTCCTGGTCAGAGCCCAGGAGCCTCCCAAGGTTTCCACTGCCCAAACCCACTTCTAGGATCCTGTAATCAACATGCTTGATAGGACTGCCTGGGAGGTCCCAACAGATACTCCACTCACATGCTCCCCAACCTCCTTTTTCATCCCAGAGTCCCCACTCACTTGAGGAGTTTGACATTCCAATCATATAGACTATCATTCACTAGTTCGACTGCATAGTTTCCTGGAAGGAGAGATGAATTAGTAGGATGGTCAAAATGGGAAAGGGCCCCATATGCAGATCCTTCTCTCTGAGAGAAAACAAAGACCCCAGGTTTGCCCCAGATGGACATGCATACGATCTGTGCCACTGGCTTGAGGGGTTGCATTCTTGGTTCATAAAATTCATGAGCATTCACATAGCCCAAGACCTTTTGAGGTCCTTGCCACCATCATTGTGTTTACGAAATACTGCCATGTGGGCCCCACTCTGGGGGCAAACATACCGCCTTTGAAACTCTGTGATCGGTATATATCCCTGAGCTCCTTCATCAGCCTGTCAGTGGCCTGCACCGAGCCAGACACTGCACCCTGCAAAGGAGGGTTCACAGAACATTTGTCACATGGTCTGGAAACATACATGCTGGACCTTAGAGGCAAGTCTGGCAGCTTGCCCAGGATTTAGGGAAGGATGAGACACATCCAAAAAAGGAGCTAGCTCCTCATACTGACATTGATGGTCTTATCTCTTCCCAGTCAGCACCCACCAACCCTTCATCCAGCTTCTTTCTATAAGGCACGTACATTTAAGTAATCTTGCCTCTGGTTCTTTTTAATTTTCTCTAGAATGGCCAAGTTTTCTTTTCCGATGCCATCATCTTCAGATTTCTTGCCCTCAGCTGGCTCTTCCTCTTTCATTTCATAGTGATCTAGGTCTTCTGTGTCCTAGGATAGGGTAGGTGAGCGGAGAGAGGAGAAAGTTACCAACATAGGCATCATCAGTACCAGTATCATCAGGCCTGAAACAGCAGTCCATGTAGCAGTCTTTTTGTTGTTGTGGTAAGACTAGGACTAGAACTTGGTACCTGATGTTTTGCTCATTAGCTGGCAAGCTACCAACTGGGCCACACCTCCAAGCCTTCCATGTAGCAGTCTTATCAACACAACACTGTTCCTAGTTCTGGAATACTTCCCAGTCCCATTTCTTCCATGGTCTAAAAACCAAAGCATTCTTTTCTTCCCCTTTTCAGTTTTCAAGCCACAGTAGAGCTAGTAAGGACCTATGTTCCCCATGACCACTCCACTCCAACTGTCCCTCAAAAATTGTCCCTTGGTGGTAGAAACTCCACCCTAGTTTTAACAGAATGACTTTGAATTGACCATGTGACTAGTTCATGTTTCACCAAGTGAAACTACTGCATCCAGGAGTCCTGAGGCCCCCAGGTCTAAAGGAAAAATGAGATTATAAATCTATTCTTTTTCCAATAAATTCAGAGCCTGAATCAGCTATA